CACACACCATACAATATACACACCAAATAAGCACAAATTCATATAAATGTCGTTTTCCTTTTTATTCTTCTTCTTCTTCTTCCTACTCCTCCCCTACTGACCCCAGGCGATATTTTCGGATCTCCCTGGCGTTGTGGATGATCGCTGTTGGCTGCTGTGGAATGAGGTGCGGGGGGTGCGGGGGGTGTGTGGCGTCAACGCGCCGCCGATGGTGGACGGCGCCAACGAACTGCGGATCTGCGGGAGTCGACATTTCCCCGCCGTCGCCGTCGCGTGGGGGGCGCCGCCGAGTCGCGCCTGCACCCGCCGCGGGGTGTAAATCGACAACTCACACGGACACTCCCCGCCGCGGGCCGCCGACAGCCCACACTCCACATACACCGTGTACAAACCCGCACGTGGGGCACAAAAGACAAGTGCCTGTTCACGTGCATTTGTGAACTCCGTGAAGGTCATGCGAATTCCATGCTCATCAAAGACACGCATACGCACCGCATCATCCGCCATACGATCCCCACGACGTCCAACATCATCTGAAGGCTTGGTTTGTCGTAACAATAAATGTACATCACAAGGTTCACTTATCTGAAAATCGACAGCTTGTTCATATTCTCCATAATTTATGAGTAGAAGTTCCGAGATGAGAGGTTTATTTGTCAGTCCGGCATTTCGAAGTGGAGTCAATGTCACTTTCGCCATTCCAGGATAAATAGAAATACTGAACTTACCGTAGCAACCACGTTTCATTGTGTAAGGAATGAGGTAACAAGTGGAACTGGGTGGTAACTCCATCTGTGAGCACACTTCTCTGGCATCAAGCATCATGCCCTTCTGAAGAAATTTGTGTGTAGTGCTTGTAATGAGAGGACTTAATGGCATCTTTGCTTGAAACGCTTGCATAAGTACCAATCCAGTTTGGTGGTAATGATTCAAACCATCAGGGTCAGTAAATGCCGGTGTATGATGACGCAATTCCGCAAGAATTGTCACAGGTCGTGATGTCTTATTCTCAACCAAGTAAATCGGATTATTACGGAATGTAGTAAACTTTGGATTACCTCCAGAAGTATATTTACCCCAAGAGCCGTGACAGCTCAAACGATCACCACAAGCAATCTGGCATCGTTGCATACTTGAAAAATTACGCAGGAATGTTGGAAGTGGTAAATAAAGATACTCCTTATGTTCAGGATCAAAATTACAAACCCTCTTAAGATCAGCTGTCCAATTAGGATCATGTTGATTTAGAGGCCCATCATACAAAGGTTTATCATAATAAGAATTCTGCAATTTAATAATAACATCATCAGGATCATTAGATTCCATTACTGTATTAATAACCCTCAAAAGAGCGTAACTGCACTGTGGATGAATACCATCCACACACTCCACATTAGACATACATGTGATCACATCGCCTTGCTCAAGATTTCTCGCCACTTCACGCCAAAAATCAGCAGATTTGTAATCACCTGTATTTGCTGCTTCAGCTAATCGTTCATCAAATGGAATATGAAAAACAGGACGACCTGTTAAATCACGAAGTGTCTCATGTGGTGCACATTGATCAAGTTTAGAATATCCACCAACAAATTTAGCATAGGCTTTTTCAAGAAGTAAAGGATACCACGAACGATGTGGCACTCGCGTAAATTTAGGTTCCATGTTTGAATCACATGGAATACGATCATCAATATCAACACGTACTGGATTACTATCAGGGTCGAAAAATAAGAAAGAATAAGGTTCATTAACTGGGTGGTTTTTGCTGTAGATGAGTTGATGCATTAACGGTGGTAGACGACCAAGTGCAGCAAGGAACGGTGCCAGATAACTTCCATTAGCTTCTGAAGAACATACATCATTTGCTGTGAATTTTACAGGCTCAAGCGGAAGATATCTACCTTCTGGATATAATTCACAAATACGTGGCCATTCCTCTGCAACATCTTTGTTAGCTTCATGAAATTCTACATCCTGCCATCCACGATAATCTAGGGCAAGGAGATTCACTCGTTTATTAAGCCGATCTTCTAGATCAAGGATCTTCGCTGCATTCTTTTCTGGATTTTTACGTAGTTGTCGTCGCTCCATCTCCATACTGTGAAAAACTTCGTCGTTATCAAGGTCCAACTCAGACAATGGAACACCACTTGGCTCCTTATCAAGGAACTCACGTTCTTTTTCAACATATTCTGCCGCTAATTGAAACACGCGATCATTTAAGAAATCTTCTAGCTCTTTAACGTCTTCAACATTTGAAGCTGGGTTCCTTTTTAGTGCCCTTCGTTCTAACTCGAGTTTGTGGAAAATATCATCATCATCAAGCGGGAGATCATCTAAAGAAACTTCCCAAGGATTTTCCAACAAGAATCCACGACCACGAGATAATTCTTTCTTTGCTATTTCTAATACACACTCCGCCATTTTTTTCTCTTCCTCACTGTCATCAATATGAGCTGCTCGTTTTTTGCGTCGTATTCGCTCAATATCCCGAAGAGGTTTGTTTGTGTTAAGTGCAAGTTCTTCCAAAGGAATACCGAATGGTGAAGGATCCAAAAATGAGCGTTCATCTTGTAAAAGTATCTCTGCTAACTCTGTAGCACGATTCTTTAATTGAAGTTGTAGCTCCCCAACTGAGGCATCATTTTCCTGAGGGTCATACATAAGTTCCCGTAAAAGTTCATCAATTTTACGGAACTTTGAGTCATTATTAAGAGGAATATCTTCAAGAGGAACACCAAGAGGTTCAGGATCCAAAAAGGCTCGACTTTTCTTTATTAATTCCTCTGATAAATACCGAGCTCGATCATTCATTTCTTTCTCTAACTGACTTACAATAAAAGTTTCATTTGAATTTAACGGTTTACGACGCATTTTTCTACGCTCTAATTCCATTTCACGGAACTTTCTATCACTATTAAGTGGTAAATATTTTAGTGCAACACCCGCTGGATAGGGATCAAGAAAAGCCCGCTCTTCATCAATGAACTTCTTTGCTATTTCTTTTACTTGAGCTACAATGGCATCTTCACATGCAGAGAGATCCTTTACATTTTTTTTAGGGTCTATGGAAAGAAAACGACGCAATTGCTCTAGCTTCTTTAACTCTTCGTTGGTATTAAGGGGTAAATCATCCAATAGAACTCCCAATGGTTCCGGATCAAGGAATGCACGCTCCCTCTTATGCATTTTCTTTGCTATTTCAAAGGCACGCTTTTGCAAAGCATCTTCCAATTTACTAATTGAACTAGGATTTGAAGAAGAATTTTTCAGAAGCTTCATACGCTCCTTCTCCATTTCACGAAAACCTTTATCATTATTAAGAGGTAGTTCCTTCAGCAGAATACCCAGAGGTTCCGGATCCAAAAATAGACGGTTATCATCAAGAAAATCTTTCGCCAACAAATGAATTCGTTCATTCATTAACTGTTCTATGGATCGAAGATTATCAGTGTTACCATCAACCTTTACATCTCCTTTTAATTTACGTCGTTGCATTGCAAGCTCTTTGAATTCTTTGTCTGTATCAAGTGGCAGTTCTGAAAGCGGCACACCCTCCGGTTCGGGATCAAGGAACGCACGGTCATTCGCGAGGAGGACATTTGCCAATTCATGGGCACGATCGTTCATTACCTTCTCCAACCTCGCCACTTCTGGTTGGTGTTTATGAGTATCATTTAGTAATCTGTACCTGGCAACCTCTGCGTTCTTGAATTCTGGATCATTATCAAGGCCAATCTCATCCAAAGGAATACCTTCAGGCTCTTGGTCCATAAAACCACGCATCTTTGCAAACTCTTCACGAGCTAGTTTACGAGCACGGTCATTCATATTATCTTCAAGCTCTTTAATAACACCCCTGTTACGCTTGCATATTAAGGGATCTTTTGTCCGCTTTCGTCTTTCAGCCTCCATAGCAAGAAAAGCCTCATCTGTGTCCAAAGGAACATCAGCAAGGTACATACCTTCTGGTTTGGGATCCAAGAAAGCACGTTCATTATTGATGACATCGTCTGCGATTTCACATACACATTTATCAAGCTCATCCTCAAGCATCACAATTTCCACGGGGTCAGTCTTACCTTGACGACGACGACGACGGCGTACATTAGTTGCCAACTTACAAAATTTCTCATTTTCGTGAAGGTTTAGGTCAGCCACTTCAATACCTCTATAAGTAGGCTTAAGACAATCCAATATTTCTTTCATAGCAGACTTTGAAAGATCTTTAAAATAAGAAGCCACCGCCTCCTCTTGTTGCACTATTCTACCTTTATTAGATTCAGGATCACGTTTTAGCTTTCTTAAATCTTTCATCAGCGATTGAAACTTTTTATCATCATCAAGGTCCATGTCTTCAATTGGAATGAATCCAGAAAACTTATCAAGAAATATACGAGACTCCTCGGCAACTAAACGTGCCAATTCAGCCGCACGCAAACGCAACTGTTGGTTCATGTCCGAAACAACGTCAGAGTCCTCTTCGGCCCCATTACTTTTTAAAATAGCCCGATTCAATTCAAGTTCAGTAAAGATGGCATCAGAATCGAGTGGTATATCTACTAGTTCAACACCCTTATATTCTGAATCAACATATGACGAACGCTCACCCTTTAGCATTTGTAGCCCAAGCTCATCTGCGCGATCCTGCATCATTTTCTCAAGTCTTTCAATTTCAGCAGCATTTCGGTGACTGTCACGTTTTAACTTCCTTCGTTGTTGTTCCATACTCTGAAAACTACGATCCTCATCGAGTGGTAGTAGTTCCTTTGGAATACCATATGATGTCGCGTTCAAAAACCCACGATTAGCTTTCTTCAGCTCTTTAGCCAAATCGTGAGCCAATTCGTTCAGGTCATCCTCCAACTTTCGAATTGCATCAGCATTTCTTACAGGATCCTCCTTTAGTTTAATTCTTTCTGCTTCCATACTGCGGAACGTCGAATCAGTATCAAGTGGAAGATCAGCCAAAGGAATACCCTCAGGCATAGGATGCAGGAAGCCGCGCTCTCCCTGGATCTTCTCCCTCGCCAATCCATGAGCACGGTCGTTCAGTCGATCCTTCAGTTGTTCAATGGTAGCATCATTTCTTCCGGGAGCTGCCTTGAGAGCACGAAGCTCCTTCTCCATGCTACTGAACTTTTTGTCAGTATCAAGTGGCAGCATCGCAAGCGGCACACCTTCCGGCTCAGGGTCAAGAAACTTACGACCCTCTGCAATCACCTCCTTCGCCAGTTCGTGTGCTCTATCATTTATCTTGTCTTGCAGTCCTTTGATCTTCGCCGCGTTACGTGTGGGGTCCTTTTTAAGCTGGCGGAGCTCTGGAATAAGGGAGGCACACTCCGCATCCGCGTGCAAGTTTAGCAACCCCAGTGGAACACCTTCAGGTTCTTTATCAATGCCAACAAGATCTTCTTCTAGCTGCTTCTTTGCAAGCTCGTGTGCACGCTCGTTCAACTTATCCTCCAGGTCACGGATGCGGTATGCGTTGCCAACTGCATCCCTCGCCTTCAACTTCGCACGTTCCACCTCCATCTGATGAAACTTTGGATCTTCATCAAGAGGAAGGTCGGCGATTGGCACTCCCTCTGGATCAGGGTCAAGATAATCACGATCACTCTTCAACTGTTCCTTCGCAAGCTCGTGGGCACGATCGTTGAGGCGAGCTTCAAGGTCTGCAATTTTGTCAGCATTTTTCTTTGGATCTGTCAACTTCAGCACAGCCCGCTCCACCTCCATGTTGTGAAAATCTGGATCAGTATCCAACGGCAACAAGCTCAGCGGAATACCCTCAGGGTCACGATCAAGGTAGTTGCGATCACCCCTTAATAGTTCACCAGCAAGTTCATTGGCACGTTTATTTAGTGCCTCCTGATCATCTTCAGATGGAAGGCCCCTTTCTTTGCTCCCATCTCCACGCATCTGGTTAGCCAACGACGCAAACGTTTGATCTTCATGTGGCTTCAAAAGAGCTATCGGAATGCCACAGGGAGACTGATCTAAACCCTCAAGATCCTTGGCCTTCACAGCACGAGCAATTTCTTCTGCACGTTCATTCAGTCGATTCTCCAGATCAGCAATCTTTGCGGCGTTCCTCACAGGATCAGCCAGCTTCAGTTTTGCCATTTCAAGTTCAATCTGTCTAAACGTTTTATCATCATCCAGAGGAAGGGCACTTAAAGGAATACCTTCCGGTTCAGGATCAACCTTTTCACGGCACCCCTTAAGCACATTCTCCGCAAGCTCATGCGCGCGTTCATCCATACGCTCCTCCAACGAACTCAGCGCCTGAGGATCAGTGGTTGGGTCTTTCTTCATGCTCCTCAACTCATTCACCATCGCAGCAAACTTCGGGTCATCATGTGGTTTCAAAAGCTCAATGGGAATACCGTGTGGGGCGGCGTCCACACCACGCAGGTCTTCCGCAATCTGTTCCAGAGCCAACTCGTGGGCACGGTCATTCAGTTCATCCTCGAGACCCTTGATGGCAGCTGCGTTGCGCACAGGATCCTTTGACTTGAGCGCAGCGCGCTTCACCTCCAGTTCGTGAAACTTTCGGTCCTCATCAAGGGGAAGGACATCCAGCGGCACACCCTCGGGGTGGCTGTCCAGGTAGCCACGATCATTCTTTAGCTTATCCTCTGCCAGTTCGTGGGCGCGGGCATTCAGCGCACCCTCCAATTCGGCTATTGCATCCTTGTTATCCACTGGGTTCAGCATCAGCTGCAGACGTTTCCCCTCCACGTCCTTGAACTGCGGGTCTGTATCCAACGGGAGTGCCCCCAGTGGAACACCCAGAGGTGCAGGATCGAGATACGACTCGCGATCTGCACGCAAAAATTCCTCTGCGAGAGCGTCTGTGCAGCCATCCATCTTATCCTGAACCGCGCGGATGGCGTCGGCGTTGCGCTTTGGGTCTTTCTTGAGACGCCGCAACTCGGGTAAGTGCGACGCAAACTTGCTGTCAGCGTGGGGTCGCAGTAGTTCCAGTGGAACACCCCTTGGGTTAGGCACGAGACCGCGAAGGTCTTCCTGCAATTGATCCCTGGCCAACTCCTCCGCACGCTCGTTCATTTCTTCTTCAAGGGCCGCAATCTCAGGAGCGTGCTTCACAGGATCCTCCGCCACCAATACCGCACGCTGCACCTCCTTACTGTGAAACGTCGGATCGTCGTCAAGGGGAAGAATAGAAAGAGGAACACCCTCAGGATCAGGATTAAGGAAATCACGATTCCCGTCCAGCATCGCGCGGGCCAGCTTCTCAGCACGCTCATTCATCATGCTCTTCAGACCCTCTATCTTCTTCGAATTTCCCCGCGGGTCTTTCTTGAGTTCACGTAGATTCGCGACCGCACGAGCAAACTCTGCGTCGCTGTGAGGGTTCACCACCTCTATCGGTATACCGCACGGTGCCGGATCGAGTCCAGAAAGATCCTCCTGCAGCTGCTGCCTTGCCAACTCATGTGCGCGCTCATTCAGTCTATCCTCAAGATCCTCGATTCTCTTCGCATTCCCCAGCGGATCCTCCAGCTTCAGCTTCGCCCGCTCCACCTCCAGCGCATGGAACTGTGGGTCTGTGTCCAGCGGCAAGATGCTCAATGGAATGCCCTCAGGATCCGAGTCAAGATACTTGTCACGGTCGCCAGCAAGCGCCTCCAGTGCCAACTCCTGTGCACGATCATTCAGCTTTTCCTGAAGATCCTGTAGTTTCTTCTTTGCTGATGGACTATCGCCATGGCACCGCAGTTCGCGCAACAGAGGGATGAGCTTTGCCGCCACAGGATCCTCGCGCAGTGAGAGAAGTTCCAATGGGATGCCGTGTGGCTCCTTGTCCAGTCCACTGAAGTCCTCCTCCTTAACAGCCCTTGCAAGTTCATGAACACGATCATTCATGGCTTGTTCCAAGTCCTTAATCCGATCAGCGTTCGCCCTAGGGTCTTCCGCCTTGAGCTGGGCACGCTCGCGCCGCAACTTCTCAAATTCACTGTCCTTTTCAAAAGGAATATGCGCCAGGGACACACCTTCAGGTTCCTTGTCAAGGAACCAAAGATCACCCCCCACAAGTTCCTTTGCGAGCTCCCCCAGGCGGCGATCCATCTCAGCCATGTGCGCCTGCAGTGCACTTTCTGGGCCTTCCTGCTTAAGGCGACGCAGCTCCGGCACAAGAGACGCGAACTCCTTGTCATCATGCGGTTTCAACTGGGCAGTAGCAATGCCTTCGTATTGACTAGGGAATCCCCTCAGGTCCTCCGCAAGCTGCTCCTTCGCAAGCTCCACAGCGCGGTCATTGAGTTTCATCTCGAGATCCTGTATCTTGGCAGCATTACGCCGAGGATCCTGCGCCTTGAGCCTCGCACGTTCAACCTCCATCTCTGAAAACGCCTCATCACGGTCCAACGGGAGATCCGCAAGCGGCACACCAAGAGGGCAGGGGTCCAAGTAACCGCGATCACCCTCTAGAAGCGCATCAGCAAGCTCGTACGCCCGGTTGTTCATTTTCTCCTCCAGATTTCGAATCTGATCGGCGTTTTCATCACGGTTCTTCTTGAGTTCACGCAGCTGTGGAATCATTGCAGCAAACTCCGCATCCTCCGTAGCCCTGAGCAACTGCAAGGGTATTCCCTCTGGTGCGGCATCCACACCAGACAAGTCATCCTGAAGCTGTTGAAGGGCTAACTCGCGCACCCGAGCGTTCATGTCATCCTCGAGTTCCTTAATCTTCTTTGCATTTCGCCGTGGGTCGCTCAGCTTCAGCTTCGCACGCTCAGTCTCCAGCGCATGGAACTCGGGGTCGGTGTCAAGCGGCAGAATTTCCAGAGGAACGCCCTCAGGGTCAGCATTCAAGAAGCCACGGTCCAGCAGTGCATCCGCCAACTCATGGACACGGTCGTTCATCGCATTGAGAACATCAGCAATGGCATCGGCGTTCGCTTCCGGGTCCTTCTTCAGCACACGAATGTCGTCAACCAACGCCGCAAATGCTGGGTCATTGTGAGGTTGCAGCAGTTCGAGTGGGATGCCGCGTGGCAGCTCGTCCACGCCAGCAAGATCCTCTCGCAGTTGGTCACGCGCAAGCTCGTGGACGCGATTATTCAACGCGTCTTCTAGATCCTTGATCTTCCTGGCGTTCAGACGTGGGTCTTGTGCTCTAAGCTTTGCACGCTCTGCCTCCATCTGTCTGAAGGCAGGGTCGGTGTCCAGTGGCAGCAGCTCAAGAGGAACTCCCTGGGGTTCCTTGTCAAGGAAGCCGCGGTCCCCCTCCTTCCGCTGCTTCGCCAGGGCATGTGCACGCTCGTTCATTTCACTCTTCAACGCCGCAATCTCATCATCCAGCCCCCGATCTCCCTGATGGTTCCGCAGCTGGTCCACAAGTTGCGCGAACTCCTTGTCGCTGTGCGGGTCAAGCACAGACAGCGGGATACCCTCAGGTTCTTCGTCAAGCCCATCCAACTCATTTCGACGTTGCTCGTCCGCAAGTTGAGCCGCACGTTCATTTAGCTTGTTTTCCAGATCCGCAATCTTTGCGGCGTTGCGACGTGGGTCTTGGGCCTTAAGCACAGCCCGCTCCACCTCCAAGGCATGAAAATCGGGATCCGTAGAGAGAGGCAATAACTCAAGCGGAACCCCATGAGGATCCTTCTCCAAGTAGCCACGATCACCCTCCAGCACATTCGCCGCAAGCTCATCGACTCGATCATTCATCTGGCGAGTTAAATCTTCAATATCCGCAGAATCAGTGTTTGGGTCTTTCTTCATGCTCCTCAACTCATTCACCATCGCAGCAAACTTCGGGTCATCATGTGGTTTCAAAAGCTCAATGGGAATACCGCGTGGATACTGTTCAAGAGCCATTAGTTCATCTTTTTTACGTTCTTCAGCCAATTCATGAGCACGGTTATTTAAGGAATTTTCCAGGTCATGTATCTTTGCCTTATTTCGAATAGGATCACGTTCTTTAAGCTTCGAACGTTCGGCTTCTAATTTATGAAACACGGGATCTGTGTTAAGGGGTAGATCTTCAAGAGGAACTCCTCCAGGGGATTTTTCTAGGAACGCCCTATCCCCTTTTAATTTTTCTAGAGCCAATTCATGGGCTCGATCGTTCATCTGCTCACGGAGATCTTCAATAGCATCAGCATTTTTCTTGGGATCCTTTTTAAGTTCTCGAATTTCGTTTACCATGGTAGAAAAAAGTTCGTCTTCATGTGGTTTTAACTGGCTTAGTGGAACACCCTCTGGTTCGCGGTCAATTCCACTGAGATCTTCTTCTTTTTGTTCTTCTGCGAGGACTCTTGCGCGTTCGTTTAGTTTTTGTTCGATTGCCTTTATTTTCCCAGCACTTCCAGGTCTATCATTTGCCTTTAATACCGCAAGTTCAACTTCTAGCTGGTGGAAAGCTGGGTCAGTATTAGTTGGCAGTGCAGATAACGGAACTCCGCACGGTTCGGGATCTAAAGATTTGCGATCTTCTTCTAGCATTTTTCTTGCGATCTCGTGGGCTTTGTTATTTAAATCAAATTCAAGGTCACTAATAGCTTCCTTGTTTGCATCTGGATCCTTCTTGAGATCACGTAGTCTTTCTTCCATTTTAAGAAATTCCTCATTTTCCCCAAGTTTTAAAAGCTCAAGTGGAATACCCTCGGGTGCCGGGTCACAAAAACTTTTACGCTGTTGATTAGCAAGTTCTGCTGCCCGAGCATTCATCGCGTCCTCTAACCCTTTTATCCGCTGAGCATTCCTACCTCTAACTCCTGATCCCTGGCGAAGTTCACGTGCTTCTGCTTCAAGACCACTGAATATGTTGTCTTCATTTAATGGTAACGAAGAGAGCGGAACTCCCTGAGGGTTTTGATCCAATAATGCACGCTCCTCGTCATGAATTGCTTGAGCCATCTCTTGCGCACGATCATTTAGTTGGTCAAGAATTTCTCTAAGTTTTCCTTTATTTGCTGGATCATCGGCTAATTCAATATAGCTTTTTTCTAGCGCAGCAAAACGTTCATCATCATCTAATGGTAGATACTTTAGAGGTACACCCAAAGGTTCTTGATCCAGTAGACTCCGTATATCATTCTTCAGAGCCCTAGCAAGGTCTGCTGCACGATCTTTCATTTGTTCCTCAAGATCTGATATAGCCTTTGCATTTCTGTTAGGATCCTTGCTTTTCAAAGCAGCACGCTTGGCTTCCAAAGAAGTAAACTCTCTGTCATCATCCAGTGGTAGTAAGTGTACTGGTACACCTTCAACCTCATCTTCCAAGAACATACGATCTTGTCTTACCGCATCAATAGCCATCTCCTCAGCACGCTTATTAAGAGCATCCTCAACCTCAGCAATTTTTGCTGCATTTTTCTCTGGATCGTGGGATAATTGAGCGCGTACTGCTTCAAGTTCTGCAAATTCCCTGTCATTATCCAGTGGCAATTCAGATATAGGGACTCCATGAGTTGAATTTGTGAGATATTCAGATCGATCTTGAGCATTCATCTTCTTCGCCAATTCATGTGCGCGATCATTCATCATTTGTTCTAAATCTGCTAAACGATCTTCATCTGTATAAGGATTCTTTTTTAACTCTCGGCGCTGTTTTTCAAGTCCGAGGAAGGTTGGGTCATTGTTAAGAGGCAATTCATCAAGGTGACGTCCTTCAGGTTGAGGGTCCAGAAATTCTCTCTCTTGCTCTACCTTTTCCTTCGCCATCTCATAAGCCATGTCATTTAGTGCGTCAATTGTATCTTCAATAGCTTTAGCATTCTTCTTTGGATCACTATTCAGAAGGAAGAGTTCCTTTTCTTTTTGAGCAAATTCAGAGTTTGTATCAAGAGGAAGTTCATCAAGTGGGATACCAAGTGGATTCTGTTCCAATAATTGCCGATTATCAGCTTTTACTTTGGCAGCCACATCTTCAGCACGCTTTAGCATTGCATCAGCTAAATCACGAGCCTTCGATGGATCCTCACCATCGCCAACCGCTCGAAGATATTCTACCTCAAGATCAGTGAAAGGCATATCTTCATCCAGTGGTAAATCTTTTGTCGGTAAACCATTAGTTACCGGTTCTAAAACACCACTACGTCCCTTATGTCTCATTTCCTTAGCCAATTCATTAGCACGATCGTTCATGGCATCTTCAAGGGATTTAATTTTAGGATCATTCTGACGCAAATTTTGAGCCTTAAGTTCCATACGTTCGACTTCCTTTTCATGAAATTCAGGATCTTCATCAAGTGGAAGGTATTTTAACGGAATACCCTGCGGTTCAGGTTCCAGAAACCCACGCTCATCATGCAGTTTTTCCTGAGCAAGCTCCTCAGCACGAAGATTAAGAGCGTCTTCAATGTCCTTAATAGCATTTTTGTTTTTCTCGGGATTACGTATTAGTTCTGCACGTTTTGCTTCAAGTTTCGAAAATTCCTCGTCGTCATCTAACGGCAGATCTTCAATTGGTACTCCCTTTGGGTTCGGGTTAAGGTACTTCTTTCGATCAGCTATATTCATTGCCTTTGCCAACTGATGTGCACGTTCATTCATAAGCTCTTCAAGATCTGCAATTTTCTGAGCGTTCTTCTTAGGATCTGCTTTAAGCAAACGTCTCTCCTTTTCCATCGCATGAAATTCCTTGTCAGTATCCAATGGAAGATCCTCAAGTAATCGTCCTTCTGGTTCAGGATCTAAAAATTCACGATCCTTTGCAAGCTCTTCTGCAGCAATCCTCCTGACAAGTCCCTTTAGATCATCTTCAAGAGCGGCAATAGCTCGCGCGTTTCTGCCACGATCCTTCCTCAGTTCACGAAGTTGAGCCTCTTTGGCCATGAACTCCTCGTTTGAGTCAAGAGGAAGCTCTGCAAGTGGAATGCCCAACGGGGCAGGGTCAAGAAAAGCACGTTCATCTGCTAATACCTTTGCTGCGAGTTCAAGAGCCCTCTCATTCATTGCATCCTCTAGATTGTTAATAGCAGTTGCATTCTTGACAGGATCTTCCCGCAGAAGAAGCCTCTGAATTTCCATATCCCGGAACAGCTCATCGCTGTCAATCGGAACGTCAGCAATGGGAACACCATTAGGCTTGGGATCGAGGAATTTCTCTCGCTCAGCTTGCTTTAATTCAACCGCAAGCTCAGCAGCACGGTCATTAAGATCATCTTCCAAATCACGGACAGCCTTTGCATTGCGCTGCAAATTCTTCTTTAACTTCGCACGTTTTTCCTCTAGAGCCTGGAAGGGACCATCAGTGTCAAGAGGTAGAAGACGTAATGGAACGCCCTCTGGAGCCGGATCCAAGTACGCACGATCATCCGCCAAATGCTTCTGGGCCAGCTCTTCCGCACGTGCATTCAATGCTGCTTCAACATCTGAAAGGGCCGCAGCGTGACGCTTCGGATCACGCTTCAGCTGCTGCCGCTTCGCTTCAAGCTCACGGAACTTCTCATCAGCGTCAAGTGGCAAGTCTTCGAGCGGAACACCCTTGGGGAAGGGCCTTAAATATTCGGGCCGCTCCTTCGCATTAAGTGCACGGGCCATTTCGTGGGCCGCCGCATTCATCTCCTCTTCCAGAGCCTTAATCTTATCGGGGTCACCGCCATTACGCGCCATCTGGCGCCGCTTTGTGTCCATCGCAACGAATGCTTTGTCGTCATCCAGTGGCAAACTCCCCACGAGGCGACCTTCAGGCTCAGGGTCAAGAAATTTCCGATCCAGCGCGGCCTTCTTACGAGCAATATCGTACACCATCTTTGCAAGCTCCTCCTCTGCAGCCTTGATTGCTGCAGCATTTCGCCTTGGGTCTTTCTTCAATTCACGCAGCTCAGCCTCCTTATTCACAAAATCATCATTATAGTCTAAACCAAGTTCATCCAGGGGGAATCCCAGGGGCTCGGGATCAAGGAATGCCCGATCATTCTTCAGCCTCATCTTTGCAAGCTCCTCTGCACGCTCATTCATCCGGTCTTCCAATTCCTTGATACGATCTGCATTTCTTCTTGGATCATCCTTGCGGAGTCTCAGACGCTCAATCTCCATTGTATGGAAGGGTTCGTCTGTATCGAGCGGAAGCTCGCTGAGTGGTACACCTCCAGGTTGTGGATCAAGGAACATTTCACGTTCAGTATCCTTTAGTTCCTTTGCAAGCTCGTGTGCCCGATCATTAAGCCTAGCTTGCAACTCAGCTATCCCTTTAGCATTATTCCGTGGTTTACGGTTTAATGCACGTAGCTCATCCTCCATCTTGCTGAACGCTTCGTCTTCATTTAGTGGAAGGAGATCAAGTGGGACTCCTTCTGGTTCGGGATCGAGGTACGTACGTTCTTTTTCATGCATTTGCCTTGCCAACTCATGCGCGCGTTCATTCATCGCGTCCTCAAGCTCACTGATCCTGCTTGCATTAGGAGCAGCATTCTGCTTGAGCTTCATACGTTCTTTCGCCATTTCGGCAAAGGCAGTATCAGCCATGAGAGGTATATCAGCGATGGGAATCCCCTCAGGTTCAGGGTCGAGGAAGTCAAGGTCTGGATCGCTTTCTTTTTCGGCAATTTGATCTGCCATCCTCTGCAATTCCCCTTCAAGTGCTCTTACTTTGGTGGCATTCCTTGGGTCCTTCTTCAACGCGTAACGCGTACTTTCACCCTGCATGTACTCTGGATTGGTGTCAAGAAGTGGGTTGAGCGTCTCGAGATCGCGCCCTGGAAGATACTTAGGTCTGTCTTTTCCAAGCAACTGCTTCGCTAACGTATGCATGCGATCATTAATTTTCGCTTCCATCTCGGCAATCTCCTTCGCATTCCTTTCAGGATCTTTGTGGAGCTCCTTTAATTTGTCAAGCATAGCCTTGGCCTCTTCATCGTCAAATATTGCGAGGTCCTCAAGCGGTACTCCCTCCGGCTCGGCATCAAGAAAAGCCAAATCAACCTCACCCAGGTCAACGGCGTCTTCGGGAGGATCCGTTATACGTACATGTGCCGGCTCCACACCAACAACCTCCACTTTGCACGGCACCAGACCGTTGCCACGCGGGCATGTAATGGAGAGAGCGTACCGTCCAGCTTCGGGAAGATGGTGCACAACGCCCATTTCACGGTAGTTTGTTGCCGACGTCACACCATCGATGCGTCTGTCAGCACCGTCGTAGAGATACATACCAAGGAAATCCTCAGCCATTGCATCACCACCATTAGGTGCTTTAAACGGTTTTTCCTGCCGCAGAAGGATGTGGATGTCCGTAGGGACATCAACAAGGAAATCCACACGGTCTTTCTCCTTGTTTCGAAGCTCAAGATGTTCAATGGCAGGCAAGTGACGAGCAACGTCAAGACTAAGACGCACAATTTTCATTTGCTTTGCATCGGCAGGCTTTTGATACCAATATGAAAGCAAAAACTTGCTCTTGTCACGGAACATGGCACTTGGGACAAGGTAATTCAATGATCTGGGGGGCACGGTAACCAAACTTGCCGACTCACGGGAATTGAGAAAGAGACCCTTATGGACGATTCGGTGGCTGTTACCCGTCACCAAATACGTTGGTATTTGGGTGTTGCTTGTTGATTGGGAAAGAACCAAGCCACACTGACTATATCTCGTTTTTTGCTCTGGCAACAAATGCAGCATGTGTCGCTGATCGGGTTGACAAATCAGAGCCATTATTTGCAGTGGCTCATCCGAGTTATTTCTCACAACATAGAGTGGATTCTCACGCCATGTCACGAGGGTAGGGTTGCCGCCATTAGTACCCTCACCCCACTCACTGTTGAAGTGCCAACTGGGCTGTGTTAATCCCTTGATGTGCACCTGCTGCATGCTGACGAACACATTGCAGAATACCGGTACGGGCATGTAAACCACGTCACGCCGATCAGGTTGAAAAATCGAACGCAATTCCGGAGTCCAGTTGGGGTCACTGGGATTCATGGGACCGGTATAAATAGCCTCCACAAAAGGGTTGTAAATCATGACCAACAGATCAGACAAAGATAACTTCCCCTTGTTTGCTGTAGAGAAGATGCCAAGAATACCATACGTCTGTTCTTCTTGTAGTCCAAGTGCTGACGCCTCATCCACCTTAGTGAGACCACCCGCAGCAGTACTCTTCAAACTGTCATTTAACTCAAGCCAAAAGTCTGGCTCATCAACGTCGTACATGGCAGACTTCGCAAGCTTCACATTAGTTGGAATACTCACCACTGGTTGACCGGTGAAGTCATGATACACCTCCTGCAGTGTGCAACCCTCAATGTTTTGGTACAATGTGTAAAACTTGGCGTATGCCTTTTCTAGCAGCAAAGGCCACCAGTGGCGAGTAGGCGACCGGCAGAACAACGTCTGTCCCTCTGTCAGGGGAATTCGGTCATCGATCTCCACCTTTACCCATTGTCCATAACGGTGAAAGCGGAAGGTGTAACGACCGTCCTTTCGAACAGCCTTCGACACAAACGCATTGCGAATCACATCGGGGTGGTGATCCACAAGAGTTGCGAAGGCAGTGAGACAACAGCACTCAAAATGTTCACCTTGCTCAAACTGTTCTCGGCTAAGAGTCTCGGGTACAAGTGGTAGTGTCTTACCCTCAGGGTACAAGTCACCAATGTGGATCCACGGATCATTTGTAATGAATTTGTTGTCAACCATGAATCGTTTGTCTTCAAATGGAATTGTGCTGTCAGGCACCTCCGTTATATGTGCAGGAGGGATATTAATGGGCGTATAGTCAATTGGATTCCCTTTGGTTGGCGCGTCATCTCCTTCATCAATTATATCCTCATCATCAAACATAACCGCATCCTCTGGGGAATCGACGATGCGAACGTTTGCTCCAAAAGAGCCAACGATGGTAATTTGTGCGGGAACAGTGCCTTTCGCGCGCGGGCATGTAACAGATATAGCATAGCGTCCACTTCGGGGAAGATGATGAAGAACGCCAATTTCACGGAAGTTAGTTGCGGCATGTACACCACCAATCTTACGATCTGTATCATCATACAGGTACATACCCATATAATCTTCTGTCATGGCATCTCCTCCCGTTTTGCCAATAAAAGGCTTCTCTTGGTGCATTAGGATATGAATATCAGTCTCTTGGTCAACATAGAAATCTACACGGTCCTTCTCCTTCATTTCCAAGACTACTTTTTGTTCAGCTGGATGAGCCCAATCCATTTCAGCAAGAGACAATTTTTTGACTGTAAGAGAACTGTAGTCCTCACCATTCATTCGGTATAGAGCAAGTGTGAAAGCTCCAGTAGCCCCTTTCATCATGCAGGAGGGTACAAGATAACATAGGGAGTTAGCAGGAACGACAATATCATTGGCAACTTCACGAGAGTTGAGGAAAAGACTTTTGTGAACCGGTTTGTGGTTGTTGCCTGTGATAAAAGACGTCGGTATCAAGTTAGGGGAAGTGTTCCTTACCATTACCATACCACACTGAAGATACTTGGCCTGCTCCTCAATAGTAGTAAAGCGTCGCTGGTCCTCTTGTTTAATCATAGCAACAAAATGAATAGGCTCTGGACCGGTGTTTCTGACGTAATACAAGGGATTCTTACGCCAAGTGACACTGGTAGGGTTTCCACCTGCAGTTTCACCTTTCCATTCATCATCAAAGTAAGTCGCATCTGCTTCAACAGGGGAAATATAGCAGAGCTGCATAGAGTTGATGATCTTTAGGAAGGTATTCAGGGGAAGGAATATGGAACGCTCATCATCCACATTGTACTTAGCTCGCAGTTTCGGGGTCCACTGCGAATCTTTGCTGTTCAATGGTCCTCTGTAAGCAAACTCCTCATCTTCAAAAGGATTGTGGAGATGAACAACAATATCTTGCACAGATGATGTACCAGTAAGGGAAAACACCTCGAGAAGGCCGTACTGTTGCTCGCGCTGTAATCCCATACTTTCTATCTCCATGTCCCTTGTCAGGACAGAGGCAACAAACTGGCCAGATTGAATCTTCTGGGCTAATTCAAGCCAGTAATGACCCTCTGTCACTTCAGCTCCAGCGGCCTTAGCAAGTTTTGGATCCATGGGAATGTTCAATACAGGTTTACCAGTCAGATCATAATACGCCTCCTGTAGTGTGCAACCTTCAATGTTTTCATAACCAGTGTAAAACTTTGCGTATGCCTTCTCAAGAAGTAAGGGCCACCAATGCTCCGTAGGGGAACGCATGTAAAGCACCTCATCTTCATCCAGTGGAATGTAGTCGTCAATTTCCACTACCTCCCACTCTTTACCACGAAAGAACTGAAAAGTGTAGCGCCCGTCTCGACGTACATTCTTGGAGACGAAGCAGTTCTGGATCACGTCGGGGAAACGGACCAGAGTTGACAGGGTTGTGAGCATAAAGCACTCATAGTGGTTGCCCTGGCCAAACTGCTCACGTGAGAACTCAGGAGGAAGAAGAGGTTGGTCCCAACCGCCTGGGTAAAGTTCACCAATGCGGACCCAGCGACTTGCGAGATGCTTGTTCTTTTCCATAAATACAGTGTCCTGGAACACCTTGTCGCTGTCGGAGATCTCCTTAAAAGCCTGCGGACTCATTTTTCCTTCGTCAAAAAAGGAATTACCAGGGTGGAGTTTATAAATAAATAAATATATATAAATATATATATTTCTAGACTCTGTTTGAGTTGTTTCTTGCTCTACTTATTTTTGTTTTTGTTTTTGTTTTGTTTTTTGTGTTTGTTGTAACCTATGTTGCTGAAAGAAGCCTTTATCTTCTCCCTCTCTCTTTTTTTTTTTTTTTTGGTTGTATAGTTTGTTTTTGTGGTTTTCTTTTTTGAGGTTTTTCTTCTTTTTTTTCTTCTACTATTGTGGTTATAAGAATTTAAACAATGAAGTAGAGATAATAAGAGAAGAATTTTTTTTTTTTGATGGTAGATGTAAGAACAGAAAACCAAACAAAACAAAGAAGAATACCGTGTATGCGTGAGAGATGAAAAACATATTGCAAACTTGTAATTACAAGCAAAATATTGACTTTCCGCGAACTTCTGTGTCGCACGTTCAAAACTCAGATGAAAAAAAAAA